ATTGGTATACTAATCTGTCTCAGGTACGCTTGTAATTTTCTTCTAGCTTTCACTAATAAAAACATTCTTGTTGTTAAAAAAATAGTAACCCCGATATGAAAAGTTGAAATGATTATGTGAAGGGTTGCAATGGTTGACTTGTGTTTTATAGAAAAAAAATTTGTGTGTACTTTTTTCGACAACTCGTTAATACTTCGGCAATGAGTCAATAAAAATATGATTGTGCCATTAAGTAGTAACTAGTGAGGACTATCATGGGTGCTCAACACATTCAAGGGTTTGAGAAGAACTTGATATCATTGGGCTATACATGTGTGGAGGGAGTGCTTCAGGTCTCTAGCTGGATCTAGAAGTTGAAAGAACTTCTAAGTATGAAATCAAAGGTGGAAGACTTGGTCCCAACTCAAATGTTTGTCTCTTAAATTGGAGTCAATGTGCATGGAGTTTCTTTGTAACTAAAAAATAAAGTCTTCTACTTTTCTACGAGTACCAAACTCAATTCAGTTACAGTACATACACGTCCATCAGAAGCAATAAAAGAGCCAAATTTTTTACATTTTTCTTGTTTGATTCATTCCAATTTGCATTGCTAGTTCTAGCTCGACACAACATTTGTTGAGTTAGTTTAGATTATGGGACAAATTTTAGTCCCATGGGCATTTTTGGAAAGTTTTCTTTTTCTTTAGTTTTTGTATTAGAATCGGATATTAGCACGTATAGTAAAAATACGGTACATGTCTTATGTATTTTTTTATTTTGTTTTTCTGCCTCAATAAGAATTCCTTGCAGCCTAAGATAATTTTGTGAATTGTTTTTTTCTCTTCTCTTATTCGTTCTCATCTATTCACTTCTGTCCAGATTGTTTTGTATTCTAAGAGAATTAAAAAATTTATTTTTTACACTTGGTATCAGAGTATAGAATAAAAAACGATCACAACCCCACCATGGAAGGACTGAAGATGACTTACCCTTTCTTAACGAGAACCAACTATGAGGCATCGACGATCAAGATGAAAGTTTTCATGAAAGCACAAGAGTTTTGGGATGTGGTTGAACCTAAGAATCCCCTGAACCCGGTTGGTGCCGAGAATCATAAGATGGTTGTGGCGGTGATTTACCAATCCATCCCGTAAGAGATCTTGTTGTCGGTAGTGGAGAAGCAAATGGAAAAGTCCACACATTCATCGGATGGGGCTCACTCATCAACAAACTAGACCTCCGTCACGTTCTGTTTCAGAATCAGATTAGGATACGGCTCTAGAAGCTTCTGCTTTCTTGTCTCATGAGAGGTCGTATAAAATCCCTTCGGTCGAGCGAATCCCATTGTTCCGGTCCGAGAATCCCTATGTCTGAGGTCGATCAGCTACACTCTCGTTGGTCGAGGTTAGATCCTCGTATGATATCCTGGCTAGAGAGCTTTGATTTCTTCTTTCCTTGGGGTTCCTTCCCTCACTTGTTACTAGCAGCTCTTCCTTTACACCTGAGAACAACCTATTATTTTCACAGCGGAAGAGTCGAAACGGAGACCGCAGAAAGCATAGTTAGAAGCTGCATCGACAGTTCGCGCGGACCTCTATAGAGCGGATCAAATCCCCTCCTATCACTTCCTCCAGGCCATAGGGGTAGGGGTGTAGGGCGGAGTGGGAAACACTTAAAATCATGTATATGGGTGTAGATCGAGTTTAAATAGCAAAACTGCAATATCTAAAGGCGGAGTTCGAGATTCTTAGCATGAAAGAGGTTGACGATTTGTTTCTACAAAAATCGGTAGTAAGCAACATCCGTACATTTATATTCTAGAAACAAGGGAGCATAATGCTCAAGAAGATCCTATAAGTCGTGCCATCTAAGTTCGTTTAAATTGCATCAACCATCGGGCAATTTACTGAACTTGATACCATGTCTATTGAAGAAGTCGTCGGGAGACCAAAAGCTCTTGAGGAGAGGACAAGATGAAAAGAAATTGTTACCTACTCACCAAGAATGGACAGAAAAAAATGAATACCATGTTTGTTCTCCGGGGGAAAACAATAGAAGCAACACACAAAACCATGGTGGATGAGGAAGAGGTCGTAGTGGAAATTGTGCAAATAGTGAAGGTCATGTAAAAGGAAACAACCAATAGTCCTGTGAAGGAACTCGTGGTGCGAATTATGATTGAGACAAAAGTAAGACCTAATGTTCCAATTTCCAAGAATATGTACATTATGCTTCCGAATGCAAGAACCCAATACAAGAGAGACAATACGAAGCAAACCTAGCCCAAGGTCATGTAGATGACGATCTAGCTTTACTAATGGAAGTGGTTCAAAACAAAGTGCTTGAAGGTGAAGTATTCTTGAATGAAGAAAACATGAACCCAAATCTAAAAACGGAGTAAAACATGAAAAATAACTCCAATTTTTGGTACCTCGAAAATGGAACAAGCAATCATATGACCGGTCATGAAGAAAAATCCAATGAACTTAATCGAGTGGTTCAAGGATATGTGAAGTTTGGAGACGGCTGAAAGGTACATGTTGAGGGAAAAGGGTCAATTATATTCTAGTTTAAGAATGGTGACCAACGGATGCTTCAAGCAATATATTACATACCAAAATTATGTAGTAATATTATTAGCTTGGGTCAACTCGTACATAACGGCGATCGGATCGTTATGCACGGATTATTCCTATGGATCCACGATGACAAGAACCGACTGCTCATGAAGGTAAAGCAATCTGAAAACCAACTCTATCAAACAACTTTGAATGAAATTAGACCACGGTGTTTATTTAATGAAGGTGAAGAACCTATACTCAATCCATTGTCCGAATAAGGAATGGTTTTTGAAGAACTAATGATTGATGTTGTAACACCAAATTTTCACTTTATAGTATAAACAAGTAATTACGCGATTCAAGGTAATTGCTATATTGCTTTTTAGCCAATGTATTCTTAACGAAAGTTGTATTAATCATAATTACAAAAATCATGCATATAAACAACACCTAAATCTTACTTCGTATGAAGAAGTTATGATTTTTCGAAGTTTCGGTGCGACATAGTACAATAGTGTGCGACATAGAAATCAAAATGTGAATCGGTTGATTGTTAACCAAAATAGTATAAAAGAAATTCGTATATCTCATAAATACAAAACCATCGATATAGAGAACGTCGAGAATGGAGTTCGTGTGAAGAAGTTATGAATTTGCACGGTCTTTTACAGTGTAATCTTCAAAATTTGTACATTTAAAATAGATTGGGAATTAGTCGAAAAAGTCTAAATGAAAGTTGTAGTACTCGTCGATACAAACGCGTGGATATAAAGAACATCGAAAACGGAGCTCGTATGCGAAAGTTATGATATTTCGAAAATTGCAAAAAAATTACTCGCGCTGGCGATGACGTGGCACCACCCAGAGGGTGCCACGTGGCCTTTTCAGACGACCCTATCCTCCAATAGACATGATGAAATTGACTAGAGGAATGACGACACTTGGAATGAATGGGGCCATCGTGCCAAAGCCCGACACACTCTTATCCTTAGACGCGGGGCGCCCCCTCGAGCAGCCTATAAATAGCAGCGAAAATCAGCTCATTTGCTCACACCTTACTCCAAATCTCTCTCTCTCTCTCTCTCTCTCTCTCTCTTTCAAACTCTCTCCCAAACCTCTGGGATCCGACTTCTGAGTCTCGAGTATTTTAGCGAGGCGCTGCGGCGTTAGAAATCCCGATGAAATGAAGTATTCGGAGTCAGAGTTCTGTCCGCGTCCTTCTGAACTTTTTGCTAGAAACTCTGTAAGTTAAGCTGAACTTAGTACGCTTTAATGTAAGTTATATTTATATTCATAGTCGTTATTATAAATTTATAAATAAGATTTATTAGTAAATCTAGGTCAAAATATTGATTGATCTATTTACGGGAGTGATGTCGAGGCTAGATCTAGGGAGATGTTTAAAGTGGATTTTCTAAAATAGTATACTCTATATACCAAACGGATCGTACCTCCGATATGATCTTACCTGGTTTCCTTATTTGATAGAACTTGAAGTATGCATTAGGAATAGTGAAAGATTTAGCTTTTATCACCAGATTGCCATAAAGATTAATAAGTTATAATATTATAGGTTAATACTTGTTAGACGCGTTAGCTGCCAGTTGGATAGCTGATAGTCGTCTGAGTAATTGACTAGGTGAGTTTTCTCACTATACTTTATATTGCAATATGTATCCTTGTGTGCAAGGATGTGATTAGATTGTAGTATGCTATTAGGCTATGATATGCTATGAGACCGATAAACTTGTTAGGTTGTTGCTTGTAATGCCTGTTTATATGTTAATATGATCTGTTAAGAGTTGAGGCATTCCCGCTTTGTGCGGAAGGCCAAAATGCAGGCATTTCAGCTTTGTGTTGAGTGTCAAGGGATGAGTTGATGACAACCGCAACTTAAGCATTGTGAGTCTAGATATTCACAAGGGCGAGGTGATGGCAACAACCACTTAAGCATTGTAAGCCTAGATACTCGATGTATGTATATGTATTGTGATGTATGGTATTTTGGGAAAATCACTAAGCTTCATACTTACCCAGTTGATTACAAATGATTTCAGGTACTTCTTCAGATCGTGAGAAGGGCAAAGCTTGACCGTACACATGCATCGACGTCATGTATTAGTTTTCCGCATATTCTATTGTATTCTGATTGAATAATTAACCATTGATTGTTAAACAATGACTTTAGTCATAAATAAATGAATGTTTGAATAAAGTGCTATCTTTCAAAACATAAAAATTTGTTATGAAAAATTGGGAGGTTACAGATGTCACACAAGCTTGTATGAAGGATACTTGGCAGAAAAGAAAGTTCATAGGGAACTATGCACAGAAGCTAGAAACATGTATTACTCATTGTTAGGTGATGTAGTGGGAAAGTTTGAGGTTAAGACTATTGTTGGTGACACTAATTTGGAGGGTGATATGTAGATGTTAGCTCTCCTAAATCTGATTCGGCTGATGAAGTTGACCAATCTCAAAAAGAAAAAGCTAAGTTTAGAAAATGAGGGAATACTCGTTGATCTGTTGGTGTTGGAATCTAAGGGAAACATTAATGGTTTTGCAATAGAAGGGGATTTTGATGTTAAAACTGATAAAGATGAAGTGAATCTCGAGAATGGAACCACTATCGATCCTTTTGTATTGATAAAGAGTAATGGCATTGCTCAGGATGTTAATATAATGGTCATGTTGGCAAAAAACACTTGGGAAGGAGAACAAGTTGTTAAGAGCACTGATGTTTATGATGCTAATAAGATCAAAATTTTGGCAGATGTTATTAATACAGATGATTGGCTCCCTAACGTTAGTAAAAGAACTCATAGGGGGTTTTAAGGAGGAAAGCTAGCGTGAGATGTATGAGTCAGCATCTGAAGAGGATGTTCAAAACAATGCAAATTTGCATACCCAAAATGAAGAATATGTTGATGATACTAAATGCACGGATCTGATCTCTGAGAATTTAGAAGAAAGGAACAATAATGATAAAGAAAGAAAAGGGAACAATGATGGTGATTATCGTTTAACAGTTTTGAGATAGAAGGCTCTCAAGAAGAAGAAGCGGAGGAGAAAAAAACATCAGAAAATGAATGGTGGCTTAGAGATGTCTGATCATTTTGAAGATGGTGACCATATCTGAATTAAGGAGGAGAATGTTGGGTTAATTCAGATTGGACAGATTTTAGTCCCAGGGGGCATTTTTGGAAAGTTTCCTTTTTCTTTAGTTTTTGTATTAGAATAGGATATACACGTTTAGTATAAATAGGGTACATGTCATATGTCTTATGTATTTTTTATTCAGTTTTTATGTCTCAATAAGAATTCCTTGCAGCCCAAAAAAATTCCCAGAATTGTTTTTTTTTCTCTTCCCCTGTTCGTTCTTCTCTGTTCACTTTTGTCCAGATTGTTTTGTATTCTTCAGGAATCAAGTGAATTGATTCCTGTATAACAGTATAAGCCTCATTCTAAAAGAATTAAAACAAATTACTTTTTACAATATTCTCGTAGGTCTAGATTGCTCATGTTTCTGATGTATGTCAAGGGGGGATTTATCCGTGAAAAAGAGAGCCAAATAAATATTCCATGAATAAATTTGTAGCGAATGAAATGAAAAACAAACATCTAAAACAGTAGAACACAGTTACTACCAATCACTAGTACAAAAGACATTTATTGATGCGGTTAAAACTATTAGTTGATGCGATTTTCAAACCACACCAATAAATATAGCATCAAAAAATAAGATATTTGTTGAGGCGGTTCTAAAAACCGCATTATAAAATGCTGTAAACCGCATTAGAAAATGTGAGTGTAAACATACTTGGGTGTGAACCTGCCATGAATAGCTGCACCACCCTCTTTTGTTGACAAATGAATGCCTCCTTTGTTGACAATAACAACTAGAATTGGCAGCTTCTTTATTTCACACGGTGAACACAATAAATTGTCACAGTACTTATAGTGGCTAGCTTTAGTATAAATACAAGTTGTAATATCAGTTGTAAGACACCACAAACAGAGAGTGTAGTGTGTAATACTTAGAGTGAGTATTAGAGGGTTGTTTCTTTTTCTTGTAATATTGAGCGTGTAAGCTCTTCTCTTTTGTTCTAGTTCTGAATAAAAGTGTGTTTCAACCCCAACAAGTGGTATCAGAGCTTGGTTAAGCTCCGGGGGAAGCATTCTCTGTTTTTTGGTCGAAATTTTTTTGTCTCAAAAACAATTTCGGAGTACACCGTTGGAAAGGCCTCGTTCTGAGGATTCCGAAAATATATTTTTTTTGAATTTTTTGACCACCGGAAGGCCTCCAAATCACCGGTCAAAGTTGGTCAAATCTGCCGGAAAAGTCGCCGGAAAAACCAGGGTTCGACGGAGAAGACGGTACTGTAGCAGCACTATAGCAGTGACATCAGCAGTGACGTCAGCAACTGACCAAAGTTCTGGAAATTGCAGTTTAGCCCCTGTTCTCCCGGAAAGTGCAATTTAGCCCCTGTTTTTCAGAAAAATTGCAATTTTGGTCCCGTTTTTCAGAAAAATTTCAATTTAGCCCCTGTTTTACTTCTGTAAAACTTCTGTTTGCCCCCTGAACTTCTGAAAAGTTCATATTGGTCCCCGTACTTCAAAAAAAAAAAAAAAAAAAAATTCTTACTCGTGTATGCCCAAGTATATGCCAAGAATGACTACACCAACCTCGTCATCTTCTCAAGCCGGAGTTGAAAGTTTTCAAAGGACCGAGAAAGACGGTAGCGTTACGTTACACTATCCAATGCCCACGAAGATGAACTACGCGGTGTGGGCCATAAAAATGCGAGTGAATTTACAAGCACAAGGAGTATGGGATGTAATTAAAAATGCAGAAACGGACGAACGTAAAGATCGGATGGCTCTTGCGGCTATTTATCAAGCAATTCCAGAGGACATACTTCTGATGTTAGCTGAGAAGGACACAGCTAAAGAAGCATGGGAAACGCTCAAGATGATGCACATGGGAGCCGATCGGGTCAAGGAGGCTAAAGCTCAAACCTTGAGAAGTGACTTCGAGGTGATCCGGATGAAAGACAGTGAATCGGTAGATGATTTTTCCATGAGATTGAATACTATCGTAACCGGTATTCGATCTCTTGGTGAAAAGATTGAAGAAATTACGGTTGTGAAGAAGTTTTTGCGAGCCGTACCGATACGATTTATACAAATCGTAACATCGATCGAGCAATTCGGAGATTTGAAGAATAAGACGGTGGAAGAAGTTGTGGGTCGTCTTAAGACCCATGAAGAGAGACTTCGAAGCTATGGAGAAAAAGAAGAAGGACCTTCTCTATTGCTTACACATGCCGAGTGGGCATCTCGTTCGAAGCAAACTGGCGAGAGAAACTCGTCAAACACTTCAAGAGGACAAGGAGGACATGGTAACCGAGGCCGGGGACGAGGCCGAGGTCGTGGACGTGGCCAAGGAGGTGGACGCGAGTACAATACAAATCGGAATGACCATAATCCTTCTCGAAAGGATAAAAGTAAAGTCAAATGCTTTACTTGTGAACAATTTGGTCATTATGCTTCGGAGTGTCCAAACAAGAATCGAGGTGAGGAGGCAAACCTCACTCAAGCCAATGAAGAAGAGCCTATTTTAATGATGGCAACCTCATAAGAATATGCACACAAAAAAGTGTCTCTAAAAGAGAAGATTTGTGTTAATCTTCTTGTATCGGGAGAAAGTCGAGTCGAGTCTGAGGTATGGTATCTCGACAACGGTGCTAGCAAACACATGACTGGAGACCGCTCAAAGTTTCGCGAACTAGATGAGCATGTTACGGGCCATGTGAAATTTGGGGATGGTTCGACCGTCGCTATTTTAGGAAAAGGGTCGATTTTATTCGATAGCAAAAATGGCGACCAAAGACTCCTTAATGAGGATATTTCATTCCAAGTCTAAAAAACAATATTATTAGTCTTGGACAAATGACGGAGGAAGGGAGTCGGGTCATAATGGATGGGTCGGATCTGACATTGTTTGACAGAAACAAAACTCTACTTTTGAGAGTTAAACGATCCCCAAACCGGTTATATAAAACTCCTTTAAGGACCGGTAGACCGACTTGTCTTTTAGCAACAAAAGACGAACCAGCTTGGATATGGCATTCTAGACTCGGTCATGTTAACTTTCTCGCCTTAAAGAAGTTGTCCGAAAAGAATATGGCAATCGGAGTCCCAAAGATTGAGCACCCAAACCAAGTATGTGAAGGGTGCGTTCTTTCCAAACAAACCCGAATTCCTTTCCCGGATCATGCAGTTTTTCGGGCTCAAAAACCTCTACAACTTGTTCATGCGGACTTATGTGGTCCGATCACACCTACGTCTGTTGGAGGGAGTAAATATTTTCTCCTTTTAGTAGACGATTTTAGCCGGTGGATGTGGGTTTACATGCTATCGGAGAAGTCTCAAGCCTTGAGCGCTTTCAAACGGTTCAAGTTGATGGTTGAAAAGAATTCGGGTTATAAAATAAAGACACTTCGAACGGACCGAGGGGGAGAGTTCACTTCAAAAGAATTCTCATTATTTTGTGAAGAAAATGGTATTCAAAGGCATCTTACGACACCATATTCGCCTCAACAGAACGGAGTTGTAGAAAGGCGAAATCGGACCGTTATGGACATGGCAAGAAGTCTGCTCAAAGGTAGAAATGTTCCGGGAGAGTTTTGGGGAGAAGCGGTTAGACATGCAGTTTATCTTCTCAACCGCCTGCCAACAAAAGTACTTCCCGACAAGACGCCTTATGAAACGTGGTTTGGCAAAAAGCCCAACCTTGAACATCTAAAAGTTTTTGGTTGTGTTGCTTTTGCTAAACTTGTAGGTGGTCACTTGAAGAAGCTTGATGATCGAAGTAAGAAGATGGTGTATTTAGGTGTGGAAGATGGAACTAAAGGCAACCGTTTGTTTGATCCGCAAGACCGAAAGTTGCGAGTTAGTCGCGATGTTGTTTTTGACGAAAAAGAATAATGGAATTGGTACAAAAACAAAGAAGAAGAGATGGCGACTCCTAAGACCTTTACCATAATTGAACCACAACCCCAAATACACCTCGAAACACCTCAAAATGACCCCGAAATCAATCTGGAACAACCAAACAGCCCAGGAATCGATGCTATCCAAGTTGGACAACCATATGCTGAATTTGACGAGCCTGAACCAGCTCCACATTTCTTCAACCTCGCCCCATATGGAAAGCCCTTCTAGTGAGATTGGGCCAAGGGGATTGCGTCCGTTAACCGATATTTATTCTGAGACCGAAAATGTGTTCCTTGAACCCGGAGAATTGTTGATGATTGCAGCGGATCAACCCTTGAATTTTAAAGAGGCGGTAACCTCTAAGGCATGGCAGGAGGCTATGCAAACAGAGTTGGATGCAATCGAGAAGAACAAAACATGGCAACTTACCGATTTGCCATCCGGACACAAAGCAATCGGTTTGAAATGGGTGTTTAAAGTGAAGAAAGACAACTTGGGAAAAGTGGTGAAGCATAAAGCTCGACTTGTAGCAAAAGGATTTGTACAAAAGGAAGGAGTCGACTTTGATGAAGTTTTTGCACCGGTAGCACGACTTGACACCGTAAGGCTCATTCTTGCCTTAGCAGCTCAACATGGGTGGGTTGTCCACCATCTCGATGTCAAATCGGCTTTTCTCAATGGAGATCTCAAAGAGGAGGTTTATGTCACCCAACCAGAAGGATATGTTGATAAAGCAAACAGTCACAAGGTGTTCAAGCTTTATAAAGCTCTTTATGGTCTACGACAAGCTCCTCGAGCTTGGAACATTCGTTTGGATAAAAGCTTAAAAAGGCTTGGTTTTACAAAAAGTTCACAAGACCCAGCTGTTTACAAAAGGAACTCAAAAGACAAAATTCTTATTGTTGGTGTCTATGTTGATGACTTGATCATTACCGGGTCGAACACTAATGATGTTGTCGAATTCAAAGAACAAATGAAGAAAGAATTCGAAATGAGTGACTTGGGATTACTTTCTTACTACCTTGGAATCGAAGTTTCGCAAAAGAAGTGGGGAATATCTTTGCGACAAACGGCTTATGCAAAGAAGATTTTAGAGCAATTTGGGTTGCTGGATTGCAATCCGACAACGTCACCAATGGAACCTAAGTTGAAGGTTAAGAAGGATGAAGATGGTGAAAAAGTTGATCCAACTGAATATAGGCGAGTGGTAGGTTGTTTGAGGTACTTGACTCACACTCGACCAGACCTGTCATTTTCGGTTGGAATTGCAAGTCGTTTCATGGAGGAACCAACCACTTTGCATTTCCAAGTTGTGAAACACATCTTGCGATACGTAAAAGGAACTGTTGATTATGGAATCAACTATGGAAGAGGTCGTGAAATTGAAGATTTGGTTGGTTTTACCGATAGTGATCTTGGAGGTGACCCTGTTGATAGCAAGAGCACAAGTGGAATGATTTTCTATCTGGGAAGGAATGCGATAACTTGGCAATCCCAAAAGCAAAAGACTGTTGCTTTGTCCACGTGTGAAGCCGAGTTCATGGCAGCTACAACAGCAGCATGTCAAGCCATTTGGCTTGCTAATCTCGTGAAGGAGCTCACGGGACATCATATTATGCCTATCACCTTATATGTCGATAACAAGTCAGCAATCGCATTGATGAAAAATCCTGTGTTTCATGGTCGAAGCAAACACATTGACATTCGTTATCACTTCATACGAGAATGTGTTGAACGTGGGCAAATTATAGTGGAATATGTCAACTCGAAGGATCAACGGGCGGACATCTTTACAAAGGCTTTAGCATACGTGAAACATGGTGAAATGCGAAACATGATCGGAGTGACGAATCTCGAGCCAAGTTAGGTTTAAGGGGGAGAATGTGAGTGTAAACCTACTTGGGCGTGAACCTGCCATGAGTAGCTGCACCACCCTCTTTTGTTGACAAATGAATGCCTCCTTTGTTGACAATAACAACTAGAATTGGCAGCTTCTTTATTTCACACGGTGAACACAATAAATTGTCACAGTACTTATAGTGGCTAGCTTTAGTATAAATAGAAGTTGTAATATCAGTTGTAAGACACCACAAACAGAGAGTGTAGTGTGTAATACTTAGAGTGAGTATTAGATGGTTGTTTCTTTTTCTTGTAATATTGAGCGTGTAACCTCTTCTCTTTTGTTCTAGTTCTGAATAAAAGTGTGTTTCAACCCCAACAGAAAATGCCCGGAAAAAAAATACAAATAGCACCAAAAAATAACATATTTGTTTATGCGGTTCCAAAACCGCATTACAAAATGTTGTAAACCGCATCATAAAATGTCTGGGAAAAAATTACAAATTGCATCAAAAAAACAGGAACCGCCCTATTAAACAATCGCACCAAAAAATGGAAATCGCCTTAACAAATCTACTAAAATATCGTTTTTTGGTGCTTTTTAGATGAGGTTGTCTTATTTTTTTTAATGCTACAGATATCGCACCAAAAATTGGGAACCAGCTCTATTAAAATAGGGCACCAAAAAATGAAAAGATATCAACCATCCATGTCTTAGAATTGCTAGTAGATAGCCAAGCTAACCTGGATGCATAGGCATGAAGGAAGGGATGATCCAGAACTCTGGGGGCATTGGGTTGCTTCCTCCCCATTCTGAAACGCCAAGGACCTACCATGTACAAGGGGATTTTTTTTTTTAAATGTTTAATAAGGAAAAAAAAATTAAATGAAGGCATATATTATACACACATTAATTCTGCATGAAGATTTTTATTTTCATTTATTTCTCATGAAAATAATTAATGTCTTACTGAAAGCCAAGTTTTTCCCCAAGAAGGAATGGCTGTGGCACTGCCATGATCTAAAATCCATTTTCTTGCTTTGGTACATGAACCATCCAAACCACCATCAGGCCCTTCTCCTAAAAGACGCATGCAAATGTAACTGAGGGTGGTGCAAAACATTGTGCTAGGACCTTCTATGTGAAGTCCCCAACCACCATCTTCGTTCTGTACATTAATTGGCCACATCTATGCGTCAAGTGGTATAATTCTGGATGTTTTTGTTACATATATGATATACAAATTAAAAGGGTATTGCATATATAAATCTGTCATCCGTACGTTATATATAACATTTAGTACCTTACCTGATGACAATATAAGTACCGAAGAGTTTCTTTTCTATGTTCTGCTGAGAAGACGCTGTTAAGATGGCCTGTGATATACAAGCATATAACCTGCAAGAATTGTTATCAGCTTGTCAATATGAGATACATCTTATAAATTATAAAAACTAATTATATATATGAGTATGAAAAAACATCAAAATATTTACCAATGGTGGCATGAAATATAAAAGTCCAGCATTTTCAGCTGGCCAATGGCCATCGTCTGCCTGCAAGGCTGCAAATAAGTGAACAGACCTTCTCAAGGTGGTGGTAGCTTTTTCATAAGAGATCTCTTCACCATCCTCTAACTTCACCTGAGGTATTGTCTGTTTGAATTGCTTCTCTCTCAAAAACTGCATATATAGTTCAAAATTTGATTTAAAGATCCGAGAAATAAATGCCTGAATCGAAATGACATCCAGGAAATTAAGGAAGAGCAACGACCTGCATGCGCCAAAGGACATCACTGGCGGGCTTGACCTGGTGTCGATGGTTCCAGAAATGGAGACGAGCTTGTTCAACCTCCTCACGCTCTTCTGCAGTTCCATAGTTAGGATCAAACTCCCATGTTTGCCTACCAACAAAGTTGTTTGTGCTGTACAGGTATGGATTGTTGCCCCCTTCGGCTATCTTCAATCTCCACATTTGCTGCAATTGCTTATCAGTACATCAATGAAGCTTATCAGTAAATTGTAAAAACTAAAATCTTAAGTATTTAAACATGCATATACATGGTGGTACGTCTATCCTGTGAATGTCTATCTCTGAGGCTCTAAGATTAGTTTTGGAGGGAGAATTGAACTGGAAGCCAGTAGCAACGACTTGTAATATTAAATATTGGCACTTGACACTACAACTGCCTCCTGTTTTTATAGTACAATAACAACGATCAGAAATACATTCAAGTCTCCTAATTAAAGATATATTTTTATGACTCCTTTTCTTTTATAATGATCGATGTTATTTGCATTTACTGAGTAGAATTGATGTATCATTATTTGGTGGGGTGCCATAAAAGTCTCCAAATTAATTAGGCTAGTCTAACCACATGAGTCATGACATCTATACTGGTGGGACTTCAATAACTCAAGCACATGTTTCTTCCCTTTTCCTTTATTAATTAGGCTAAGTTAACCACATGAGCCATGACATCTATACATGATATGGTGTAATTTATTTTATATTTTATATTTTGAATTTTTTGAATTTTTTTATGTTTAATATGACAGTAGAAAACAACTCCAATCTGTCCAACTAACTAGTAACACCAAACTCTCCCTATGTTTACATCAAATAAAAGACATCTACGTATTATGCAATTTTGGTTGGTGATGGGAGAATGTTATTGAACACCTTGTCATTCTTTGCATTCCAAAGGCACCATAATAAGCAATAGGTAATTGTGATGAATATTTTACATTTCTCCAGACAATTTCCTAGGGGTGTGTGGGGCGGTTTGGTTCGGTTATTAGTCAAAACCGAACCATAACCATTATGATTGGTTAATGCATTTTGATAGCCATTGGGTATGGTTAATATTGGTTATGGTTAATGGTTGTTGTCGGTTAACGGTTTTGGTTAATGGTTGATATTGGGTAACCACAATGTTCAAAATAATATAAATGACGAAAGTATATTGACATAAAAAATGAAAAGAGAATACAGAAAAGTCATTGATGCCAATGTTTGTAACCAAGCTCATAGTAATAGAATAAAATGTGTACCTTTGATACTCAGAGTAAGATAACACATAGTCACATTCAAAATAAAAAAATTCAATAAAAATATAAAGCATTAAAAAAATTGACATTAATAATTTCATATATTGATAATTGATATTAACATTAAAATAAAGCCAAACATTCATACACGTTTAATGCCATTAAATTAAAAACTATAAAATAAAGAGTCAAACATTCATATTATGTGTTATCTAGATAAAAAAAAAAGCTAATCACTCATATACATTCAATGTGATTAAGTAAAAAACAGTAAATAAAAAAGCCAAAAAATTCAAAAAAAAAAAAAAACATTCTTACTATATCACAAAGTCAAGAAGAACTAAAAACCTAACTTACCTAGAAGTCTTGATTATAAAGTCAAAAAATCATTCGAATAGGACTATAAAGTGAAAACAATCTTTGATTAGGATTAACGGTGTGACAAGCCTCCGATTAGGATTATGAGTGTGAAGATTAAACTAATTGTGAATAATGTTTACAAATTGTAGAATCAGCCGATTAAGAATTACAACATTAATCAATAATCTAACTCAATGCATGATTGGAAGATTGTGTGTGTTTGCATGATCAGCCTTTGATGGTTTGATTGCTCGTTCGTCTCTTGATAGGTGAGGATTAATGAATTATATTTTGAAATTTTAACGAGTCTTAAATAAGTTTGACTATATTATTTTGTATATAATCTATAACTTTTATATAATAAAATATAAAGTTAGCGGTTCGGTTAATAATGGTTTGGTTAACCTATAAAACCATAACCGAACCGTTATTTATCGGTTAACAAAAATTAGAATCTGAACCAACGGTTTTTAAAATGGTTCGGTTATATTGGTTAATTTGGTTTTGGTTCGGTTTTTCGGTTATTATGCTCACCCCTACAATTTCCCCATACCGTGACATAATCTAGAAACTCCGACACCGATAAGAATTGCCAATGATAAATCCCACACCACTTAAATGCCCATTCACGAGTCTCGATTGCAATATTAATTGCACCCAACAAAAACATGATCAATAGACTCACTACAAGAAAAAAAAAAGAATGAGCAGTGACAAAAGTCGTCAGTAAAAGTTAGTTTTGTCGTCGGTAAAGGCAATAGTGGCGACACATCGCCGGTAAAAAGTCGTCGGTACTGCCCTGTCGTTATTGCTCAAAATGTCGTTGATAAATATATTTGTCGCCGCTAATACTCATGTCACCGGTAATACCTTGTGTCGCCGCTAATAACCTTGTCACCGGTAATTCACTATGTCGCTGGTAATATTATTTTTAATTTTTTAAAAAATCAACACTTTCGGGTGCAAAAAACCGATACGTAATGACATTAAATGCAGAAAAAAATTACATAATGATACCCGATTAAGTACCAAATACTGTTATAATTTCATACAAATACCAAAATAAACACCAAAAATATTATAATTCCAACAAGTACCAAAGTGTCACAACAAGTCTAACATACAAAATACAAACTAATTATTCGACGAACCATCATCTTCGTTCCCCTCATTTCGTCCTTGATCTTTCCCCGATTGAAAAAACGCATAAACGTTGGGTCGTTGAGAATTGTCTGAAGATTTTTCAACTACATAATAAATAACAGCATACATAAACTTATAAGTTAAACTATCAAACATAAACAAAAACTACCAAAGTACATTGCCATTTCTTGTACTTAAATACAAGAAATACCAAAAGTACATTGCTATTTATTGCACTTAAATACAAGAAATACCAAAACTACATTGCTATTTCTTGCACTAGGAACATAAAGACAATTACAAACACAATTACCAAATCAACATGCATTTATTGATCATTATATAGATATATGAGACTTTGAAATTAAATAGTCTACTTTTTGTGCTAAAGAACCTTAAATACAAGAAATACCAAAGTACAATGCTATTTCTTGCACTTGGGACAAAATCACAATTACAAACACAATTACCAAATCAACATGCATTTATTAATACCAAAGTACATTGTTATTTCTTGTACTTGGGACAAAAAACCAATGTACATTGCTATTTCTTGCACTTGGGACAAAAAACCAATTACCAAAGCTTTTAGCAAATAATCACCACAAACCAAAATTACCAAATCAACATGCATTTAATGAAATTAAATAGTCTTGTTTTACCTGTGATGGATGTGACTGGGTGGTGGTTGCGATGGTTGTGCAATCGGCGGGATAATATAAGGTTTTCAGCCTCTGATATGGCCACACCATTCACCTAATACTCTCTCGAAACATGCTCTTTCTTCAGCGGGTGTAAAACTCGTTGACCTTCTGACCCTTGCGTTTGTTCTAAGAGATCTTGCACTAACCGATTCTATGTTTTCCAAAAATGATTAACAATTAATTATAAATAAACACTTAATTATATGATAAAATTATAATTAAATACTTATGTATTGCTGCTCCGCTACATCAGTAACAAATATACCATTCTTATCGGTACGAGCCTTGCGGAATGTTTCAACTCTCTTCAGGTTCTGTTTAACATTAAAAATTAGATTATATTTTAAATAAATAATTACATATATCGTACGTTACCTTTTTATAGAAAGTACTGCTATACGAGCTCGACCCCCCACGGTTCACGGATGTTTGCAGTTCACAGACTTTTTTGTTTCTTGTCGAAGCAGTTAGGTGTTCATCCATTTGGAAATACTCAATTGCTTTCCTCCAATTATCAGCCTTCATATCATCTGGGGGTGGCTAATGCTCTCAGGATATTCTCATACCCTCAAATTCTCAAAAAATATGCTTTTGTGTCAGCTTTACGCTCCCTAAAACCTTTTAACAAAGCCGTTTTAAAACTCTCTAACAACCTAACAGCCTCTGGATCCTGGGAAATTCGATCAAAAATAAACTTTTTCTACAAAAAAAAAGTTAGCTAAGTAAAAACCAGTCATAATTAACCATATAAAATATTGTTATATAAATAATTTACCCTTAAATGTTGTTTTACTGTATCCTTTAACGCAGGGGATACTTTTTTCCAAGTTCCTTTATCAAAAGGGACTATCCGCCACATTATTTTCCCAATTTTGCGTGCAAACATGTCTTTTGGCTCTCCTACGGGATCATATGTCATATCTCTATCATAGTCCATGTCAATCTATTTGCCCTCATTATTAAAAGCGCATTTTTCGAGTTTAATGTTTTTTTCTTTTTATCTGACTCTCCTGTGTGGCACAACTACAAATATAATTAAAATTTATTAGAAACAACAATTTATAATAACTGAAAAAATAGTAAATAAAATGTCATAATAGGACTTACCATCCTGCTCATGTTGACCAACACCTCTACCGTCTGGGAGAGGTGGGTCCTCTGCTCCATCTCCCACATGTCTACGGCCCATAACAACAGCCATGGTGTACAAAAACAAGATCCATATCGATGCCATTACCTGAAAAATTATAAGATATATAGATACAATTTCTATACAAATACACATTACATATGAATAAAAATTTCTATTTAAACTAGGATTCCAAATAAAGTTTCTACTACAAATACGCATTACAAAAGAACTATTCTAATCAGGATCTTCCTCATATCCATCAGTGTCTTTGTCAGTATCATAATCATAATCGTTCTCATCATAATCAGTCTCGCAATCAGAAACATCATTGACTCTACCGGTTGGCGGAGGAACTTTAGTTGCACTCTCTACCTCAACATCGACTCTAGGAATGTTTTGAAAGTACATTTTGAAATCGATAAAAAGTGGAGCATTGGATGAAGAGATATTTTGAACTACGTCAACATTGTCAACATTTTCATTTGAGCTATTTTAACCATTTTGGATAGAGTCATTGTAAACAAGTAGGACACGATCATCGTTTGATGGTAAATCCCAAATACTTCAATGATCATCGTTTGGATA